CCCTTACACATTCCAAAAAGACTTATTAGCGGTTCAAACTTAGGGTTTTGGCACATCAACTGCATAGCGTTGAGGAAGGAGAAAAGGGGTTGGCAGAAAGTGTATTTAGGATGAATGCCACCCACCATCAAGTAATAGTTTAAGTAGAAAGTAATCAGAGGGAGACCACAGCAGCTAAATTTCAACCAAAGATATTCTAGGTTTAGAACAATAAATAATTTTAATCAAGTATGTTCCAAGGAGCAAATAGGGCTCTAAGGCTATAACTCAGCCTGAATAAGCACTAGGAAAGTCTGCCGGATCAGCAGCCACTCCGTATACACAGCACACCACCTGATCTTCCACTAAAATCTGTAACACCACTGGTACAGAGAAGCCCATATGATGTGAAAGCTAAATACTATAGACAAGAAAACATATCTAATTTATTAATGCAGACAGCATCTTTCACCTACATCAAAACGTATGTCACCAGATGAAGGGTGTTATGAAAATGCTGATATGGATAAAGAAGGACACACATGAAAGCCTTAGCACCTTCCCGGAGTCCTGCCTTATTAGAGCCAGAACTGCCTTATAATAAGGTCTTTTTAGTGTGTTAGTAACTAAACACTCTTGGAAGAGGTCCAACGTGAACCACCCCTCCATGAGTCTTCAATGTAGTAACATGACACTTAAGCTTCCACAAAAACCAGTGTCTACATTTGATGAATAAGTCATTAAGACAGTCTCTAGGATGCTAAAGGGATTACTTTTCTTATCAGGACACACAGCCTTGTGTATATGCTCGAAGCCACAATTCATCATTTCAAGGGAACTTCTGGCCTCTATATCAGAGTTTACCATTTAATGGCATAAAACTACAGTAAGGCTGATAAGGGGCACTGAAATTATAATGCACGAAATGAATTGAAGCCAAAAAGCATACGGAAGCTAAGTTATCCAAATCCTTATCCATCTTCCATTCATAGTTCACTCAGCCTAAAACAAACATACAAAAAAACTATACAATATGTGTGAATGAAACAAAATCACATTCCATCTCCAAACCTTGTGATTCATACAAAGAATGAAACTTGTTGATACGAAAAATACTATATGTCTCTTAGGTGCCTCAGCCACTCCCTAGGAATATCACCAAGAAAATTAATATCAAGGTAAGAGAGATTAGAGTATCGTCATGTATCCACCTGCCTTGCCCACTCAGCTTCCTTCTAATTCTTGTTGCTCCCACAGCTCTGTTTCATTGAGCTCTGCCCTCAGAGCTGCACTAAAGTAAACAGCATTCACTGGTATGGTCAGCTGTCAGGACAGCCTCCTCAAGTGGCTAACCCAGAGAAGGTTTCTGTTTCCTTAGCAAAGGCTAGCTCCTACAGATTATGCTCACGGTTTGAAGAAGAAAGTGAAATCTGGTTCAGCTCAGATTCTAGCTAAAGACTTCTACATTAGAAGACATAATTCATATTTATTGTAAATGTCATCATGCCTGTGAGCTCTAGAGTGTATTTACAGTGTCAGCCTAGGGCTTTCCTTGATGGATGCTTTGGTTTTCCTTTCTTCCAGGAGTCCTACATATCAAAGCGTTGGGAGATTTCTTTCTAGTGATTTTGACAGACTTGATAGAGCATGAGGCATGGCCTCCTTACTTGAAGATTCCTGGCTATTTTTCAATGGTTCACTGAAGACAGGCTTTGCAGTTATGTTTCCCTTTATCATGCATACAGTGAACAACAACAAAAAGCCTGGTGCATCCTCAAAGCATATAAATGGAGTTAGTGTCCAGGAAACTTTCCTTAAAGCTGTTAGCACAAGGGATGCACGTTGTTAGCATAAGTTATTCCCTTCACCACAGGGGCCAGGAGAAACCTTGTTAAGCCACGAATTTTAGTCCAGTGATCTGCATGTTGAAAATGGGATGAGCAGATTTTCATCGGCAGATTCCAAGAGATGTTTACATCCACGGCTGCCCCTCCCACCCCTACTCCTCCCAGGGTGGATGGCACGACCACTGTTTTCCCAGGTGGGTTTTAAAAAGTAGAAACACCCAAGCACCTGGCTTAGTTTGTGTGTTCGACACCAAGGAATCATGAAGTAAAAAGTGTCAACTATAGTAACACAGATGACGCGAGTGAAGAGGGGTGCAAGGTCTTGAGAAGCAACTGTCTAAAAGGCGAGGAGAAGGCGTTTAGTTCAAGTATGACTTCTCTGTGGTGCTCTGGGGTTGGCATAAAGTGACATCTGCCTCTAGGTAAACATGGCTAAAGCCCAGTCCAAGGGAAATTTCTCTGACCGACTTAAGAAACATCGACTGACTTAAGAACCCGCGGAGGTGCTCCAGCCACCCAGGGCAGGAGGGATACGCTGGGCTTGGGGGTAGCCCTTTCCCTTCCCCCACGCTGTTCCTCCAGACGACTTCTCTGCTGCTGGGTTCTCTTCTCTCCACATCTCCCTCCCAATTTGGACTCTAAAACTGGCTTACTCGCTGGCGATATGCGAGTGTGACGGGACGAAGGGGCTCGGAGGGCAGCTTCCTAGAGGGAAAATCTCTAGGTAGCACTATAGGGTACTATAAGGTAGACAAGAAAGCCGTGGGGGGTCTGGGGAAAGACCTAGGGCAGGACCGCGGGAAGGGGAGCTCCTCCGGCACTCACCTGCCGCTCGGGCTCGAAAACTGCGAACCGTGTTGCCTTCTCGCAGGGGCCAGGGGCGCAGAGGCTGTGAGCCCCGCTCAGAGGACCCTGGTGTCCGCACCGCCTCGGCCCTGCCGCTGCCGCTGCCGCCGCTGTACCTGTCATAGAGCCGCAGCATGTGCTCCGACACCTTGTCGTGCGGCTGCAGCACGGGGCTGGGGCCACCACCTGCCGCGCGGTCGCCTGGCACAGCCTTGCGGAGCTCTACGAAATGCTGCTTCAGTCTCTCTCCCAGAGCCAGGCTCACGCAGAAGCAGCCCAGCCACAGACAGAGCAGCCTGCGCGCCCCGGCCATAGCGAGGTCCTGGCGGCGCGTCGGCTCTCTGCGTCGCGCGGGTACACTCCAAAGGCACGAGGGGCCGACGGCCGAGCGGAGGGTTGAACTCCAAACTAGCTGGAGCGAGGGCGCCCGGAGCCGGGACGCTGCCGGAGCAGTACAGCTGCGAGTCCCACTTCTGCGCGGGCGGAACGCGGGCGGGCAGGTGGGCTCTTCCCCGGCAGCAGCGCGGACCTCACAGGCGCAGAGCGCTGCAGGCGCTGTCTCCGCTCGGGCGCTGAGAGAGCGCTTAAGCCACAGCGTGTGTGGCCAGGGTGTTTTCAGGATCTGTCTCTAGCCTCCCTCCCCTCTTCACTTTCGGGCACACCCGGCCAAAGCACGGCACTGGGGACGGGAACTAGCGCTGCGTCGGGCGCAGTGCCGGAGCTGGGTAAGCGCGGCGAGCCGGAGGGCGCTCGCTCGCCTTTTCCAAGGGTTGGAGCAGCCGCGCTGCGGCCCGGCCAAGTTTTGAGTGTGAGCGTGTGTGTGTGTGTGAGTGAGCGTGTGTGTGTGTGTGAGTGAGTGAGTGTGTGTGTGTGTGTGAGCGTGTGTGTGTGAGTGAGCGTGTGTGTGTGAGTGAGCGTGTGTGTGTGAGTGAGCGTGTGTGTGTGTGTGTGTGTGTGTGTTTGGAGAGAGACAGAGAGAGACAGAGAGATCACTAAATGACTTCGTTCTCTGGCTGATCTGTACAGTCCACAGCCAATCTCGCCCTCTCTCTCGCAGGCAGCTTGGACTCTGCTACAGCCGGGAAATAAGGGAAGGGGAGTAATCCGCAAACCCGCAAGAGACAGAGACGAGGAAGCAGGGGTGGTTGGGTAGCGGAGCAGGAAAGAAGAGGAAGGAAAGAAGGAAGGAAGGAAGGAAGGAAGGGAGG